TCTGGTAGAGATTCCAACCAATGAGGAAATGTATCCTCTATGCTGTTGTTGCCAACGTCTAGAACCTCTAACATGCTACAATTCACCAAAGACCTCGGTAATAGCCCGTCCATTTGATTTCCATGTAAGTTGAGATTTCGTAATCTACAGCCTTCTAGAAACCCAAATGGTATATTTCCATCAAAGTAATTGGCTTGCAAATTCAACACTGAGAGAGACATAGGAAGACAATTTGGAAGCTTCCCGATTAAATTGTTATGAGAAAGGTCAAGAATTTGGAGAGAATACTTTTCACATATCCATTCGGGAATATTTCCATGAATGCTATTTTTGGATAGCACTAGGCTTCGCAGAGCATTTGAATGTCTTAAGAAATTGGGGAATTCACTTAAGTTACAAAAAGAAAAGAAAACATCAACTAGTTTGTGAAATCTGAAGTTAGCATGGACATTCATTGTCAACGACAGATTATTGTATGAAAGAATGATGGTTCGCAGGTTTTGAAGTGCCGAGAATATGTCAGGTACTACTAAACCACTAAAATGATTTGATGATAAATCAAGATAAAAAAGATTTACTGAATTAGCAATTGAGTTAGCAATTGAACCCTGGAGTTTATTGTTTGAAAAATCTAGCTTCATGAGTGAGTTTTGCTGGAATTGATTTATTTGACCTTGAAATTGGTTATGATCGAGACACAAGTACTCTAACCAAGGTAAGGTGAAAATCCAAGGTGGCAACGTGCCGTTAAGTAAGTTATAAGAAAGGAAGAGATAACTAAGTTGTGTGAGGTTTGCAAGTGATGATGGGATTTGTCCGTTAAAATTGTTAGAAGAGAGGGTTAGGTCAGTTAGTTGAGATAAGTTACCTATGGAAGCTGGAATGGGACCAGAAAACTGATTATTGGAAAGGTCAAGAGAGATAAGTTGGGTGAGGTTTGCAAGTGATGTTGGGATTCGTCCGCTAAAATTGTTAGAATGGAGGGCTAGCAAAGCAAGTTGCCTTAAGTTACCTATGGAAGCTGGAATGGGACCAGAAAACTGATTATTTGAAAGGTCAAGTTCACTAAGTTGGGTGAAGTTTGCAAGGGATGATGGGATTTGTCCACTGAGATGGCTAGAATAGAGGGCTAGGAAAGTAAGTTGCCTTAAGTTACCTATGGAAGCTGGAATGGGACCAGAAAACTGATTATAGGAAAGGTCAAGAGAGGTAAGTTGGGTGAGGTTTGCAAGTGATGATGGGATTTGTCCGCTGAGATTGTTAGAAATGAGGTATAGGTTAGTAAGTTGCCTTAAGTTACCTATGGAAGCTGGAATTGGACCAGAAAACTGATTATAGGAGAGGTCAAGAGAGGTAAGTTGGGTGAGGTTTGCAAGTGATGGTAGGATTTGTCCACTAAGATTGTTAAAAAGAGTGCTGTTCGAAGGAAAGGCGCAAGAAAGGCAAGCGGAGCTGAGATCAAGGGCAATTACATGACCTGTGACATTATCACAGCTAACCCCAACCCAGGAGCAGCAGTCTATACTTTCGCTCCAATACTCAGTCTTAGCATGACATAACAAAGCATTAGAAAGAGTGTCGTTGATGGAAAAGGAAGTCTTGAATTGCAACAAAGCAGCAGCCTCCTCATGAGAGCAGAGGTGTGTTGTTGAGAAGGAAGAAGCATGTGTAGAGGATGAAAAGGCAGTTTTAAGACAGAGGAAGAAAAACGGGTGGCAGAGTAGTGTTGAGACCATTGTGAAAATTCCCATATCTCTGTTTGGCGTAATAGAGTAGTCTAGAAGAGTATATATAGAGGGCAAAGCCCCTATTTGCACCCTCCATTTATTTTTTTTTCACGGTCAACACCTTTCAGAATTTTTTCTCCCTATTCACACCTTTCATTTTTTAAAATCCGTGAAAAACTCAATATTTTAACGGACCGTCACGGCACCGTTAAAAAATGCACTATGTGGCACTCAGAAATTAACGTGGCACATGCGGCGTTTCTTTATTCGTTAGTTTCAGACATGGGTATGTTTTTTTATGACGTGGCTTCTTTTTTGTACACGTGGACACCACGTGTGTAGTGGGACCCACTACACGGTTTTCGCTTGTCCCCCACGTCCCCACCAAAAAAAAAAAAAAAAATTTTCTGGAAACCAGAGCTGGGTACCCAGATCGGGTTCCTCACAAGGAACCCAACTCTGGGTTCGGCGAGGAACCCAAATCGGGTTCCTCACCAGGAACCCAAAGAGGGTTCCTCATGGGTTCCTCCCG